CTCGGTTCAGCGCCGAATGTTCGTATTTTCGTCGCGGCAAAATCGGCGCTGAACTCTCGTTAAAAACACCAGGTCCATTGTTACCTTATTACGAAATTGCCGCGATAAAACGCGCGATCGATCATCGGTTCCCCTCGGAATAGGCCGCTATTTAATCTTATTTTGCAAACGGCAGCCGCAAATCGCGAGATACACGGAGTGTATTTAAGCGAACGTCTCATTTGCCGCAATTAGGTCAATTATTATCATTTGCTGGAACAAGTCGTAAACTGGCGCTGTGTAGTCGCTACGTTGAGGTACAATTTCCTTTACAGCTTTAGACGCTTTAGACGCTTTAGACGCTTTCCTTTCAACCGAACGAAGTATGTTCCTACGATACAGTTAGGTACGTATCAGTTAGTTCATTTCGTTATTCAATTAGCTAGCCGTAGCAGAAACGAGTGCGTAGAAACTGTTTCTTCTCAATTAAATAGCCCGAGAGTTTCACAGAGCGATTTTTGCACTCGTTCCGAGAAGAATCGCGAGAGCAGATTCGCAGAATATTAGCGTTAACTTTTACGAAGATCCACGAAAGCGCGTGCGGCCGTCTTGGTGGATTTAAATCGGAGTGAGTCAACGGTATCGTGTACTTTTTTTTTTTTACCGATTACTGGCTGGCAGATAAACCGTGGCTTGCGCAATGCGTTACACGGTCGTGATTTCAAAGCTATAAGTCTATGGTGGCGATGTAATAGACTTGGATCGCTTCTGCCCGAGCTGACCGATCCTGACCGACTAAGCGCCTCGAACGGAGCTTATTATTCGGCTGGCGAAACGGACAGTAAAAACCGCGAGGAATTGCGAGGCGATCGCGTTACGAGATTGTACGGTATTCGTCAACGCTATTTATATCGGTTACACCAACTTCCTCTCTACTAGGGGTAACGTTATCATCCAACTCGTCTGCGTAAACAGCATTTCGGAGATCTCTGTTGCACAGAGACACTGGACTGTGTCGTTTCATTCCAATTAAACTAGCCACCTGAAGTCTTTCCATCGTGTTCAGATCCGTCTTTCAGCTCGTTCGTTTGTTAACAAAACAAATATTTAATGCGAATACGTACAAGGATAGCAGCGTCAAACTAATCGAATCGAATCAATACGGGATGTTAGATCTATATTGTTTCGTACAAACTTATATTTCTATGAAAAATGAATGAAAAACTACTGCCTTTTACCTATTTGAATATTTTATACAAATGTTCTGTAATCTCTTTGCATCGCGTGCGCGCGTTTGTATCTTAAATTTCATTCATTCTGTCAAACTTAACCGTCTGGCCAATTTCCATTATTGATTACCGATTCTAAATCCAGTCCGTATGTTTTCAAGGGTTGAAAACGATCCTGAGATACCAATGCCTCGAACGAGTCTTTTAAACACTGGCAACCAGACAAGCCTGGAGGGTTGAAATCGACTCTAGGCGTGTCGGCCAGCTCGAATCAAAACTCGCAGCTCGATGGAGTCGCGTTGCTCATAGACCCACAGTGTATGTATCGCGTTACCTCGGTGCACCAGCCTCGGCGTTAAGACACGTTATAGTCAACGCGCACCAGCGAAACCCCTTACCGAATGATGGTAATGTTCTTCCGATTGGCGCGAAATCATAATCGCTCCGTTCGCTGATTGTTTAAAATGGAAAGGAAACCGAGCTTGTCTATGATCGATCGTTATACGAGCGTCCAACTCATCGTGAATTATTTTTCATTTTTCGAAATTTGTTGAAACAAATTCCACCATTCAATTACTCGAGGCGAGGGCGTTCCAAAAGTAGTAAAATTTCGGTTCGCTAGGAGTTACGTCGATCAATAATAAAAAAAAAATAATGTCAATGAAGTAATTATAATAATAAATATTATTACAAAGTTATGAAATGAAATGAAATTATCTTGAAACATATATATATATATATTTTTTTTTTTTTAACAAAAATTTCAATTTTACACTTGAATCTTAAATTCAAAGCACTATCCTGCCATATTAAATTAAATATTGAAGATATCTTTAATTTTATCAATGAATAAGATTGGAGTTTCACTTATTATATGATCAAATGGAGGATAATTGTTAAGCCGTTCTAACGAAGATTGATTAAATTTAAATAAAACGAAGCGTCCGGTCGATCGCTAGGAGTTGCGTCGATCTTGTTGAAACGTCGATACGCAAGGAGCAAGACGGGCTCGTGTGAGTGAAAACGCGATTTCACGTGTTTCTGTAAAGTGTGTTGTTGTTCAGCGAAACAATCGAAAGCGCGATGGAACGTGCTCGGAAGGAAACGCAGCGTTTCTAGCGAGCGTTTCGTGAGAAAAAAAGCAACACGCGAGGTTACAAACACAGGTATAAATGCAGGCGCGATCGATGTACTCTTGGTAACCATTTCCGAGGACACTCACGTTTCATCGGAATGGAAAGGACCAAGAAGAACTTGACGACGATCAATTTCTTTCCCGAGTGAAAAATCAATTTGGTTGTTTATTACGGATACAAATTGATAGCGATAAATTTGACGGGGGAGGGAAGAAAAAAAAAAAAAAGAAAAAAAGAAAGAAAGAAACGTTAGCAAAAGACGAGGAGCCGCATTGCGGAAAGGGACGAAGAAAAATATATTCAACGTGGGGAACGCGCCTATTGGGGCGCGACGACAACGACGGAAAGCTGTGTATAGCTCCTCCGAGAAGTAACGACCCTGTTCAAGGGCGTCGTATGTACTGGGTTACGCGGGCCAAGGTCGACTCGATTACGTGTACACATGTCAAACATGATGCTTTTTAAATAACCTTCCAGCCGGCTCGGTTTACTTCATCGACCAGCGATAACCTCGTAAATCGAGACACATTTGGAGTAGACCGCGTAAGTCTTGCATTCCTTTTTGCGTCTCATTCTTTTGGACAATGTCGCGCTACACAGCAGCAGCCCACGCCGTGACTCGTTGCTTAATGTTATTCGTAACAACATTTAATTACCGAGGAATGCGGCACGGTGTTAAACGGACATTTGCATAAGTCTACAATGTCGGGGATATGTTAATTGGCAGAATGGATAAATTGTAATCTCACCTTGGCGTCGAATCTGGGCATTCGTTGCACGCCGTTCATCTCGACGAAGTAACCGCTTCCTCGGGAACCAACTCTCTCTCTCTCTCTTTCTGTCGACGATTGTCTCGATGGTCGTTAGTGTGAGACGGCACTCTCAAAAATGGCACTCAACGAAGTATGAGCCCTCGCCGCGAGTAAGAAGTAAGAAGACCACGCGCGGACGCGAGCGAGAAATTTAAACTCGCAGGAACTGGGGAGTCGCGTCGACACGTGCGCGCGACAACTGTAAGGCATTTAAGTGTCTTTCGAACGAACGCAAATTCAAACGTTTTTTTTTTCTTTTCTTCTTCTTCTT